GCCGGTAGAGGGCGGGAGAGGGGTTCAAGCAAACTTCCTGGGGAAAATCATAGACTGTAAAGTTGATCCTCAGGAATCCATCTGATTATACATACTAAAACCTAACACGATGCCATATCTAAACGAAATCACACTGATCATCGTATAATCCTCTAGACAAATGCATTAATCAACACAATAAAATCATGTGATATATAATTGGATAGATGTAGCCATAAGTGCCTCAAATTCATTACATTCCAGCTATCATTACAAACAAATGAGTGAAATGAGATGGAGAAGCCAGAACAGATCGGTATAGAAGATCTAATTATGTATCTAAACAAATGAATCCCAAAGGAGATCAGTAGAGAAAAAAAAATGCAGCAAATTAAAGCAGAAGCAGCTAGCATCTCATTACAAAGTGAAAAATTCAAGATCCCATTTAAATACATGAACCAAATTCTTCAGATCACTTCCATGTATGTATACTTTCCCATGAACTTTTCATCCATGAAGACGATGACCCTCCGCCACTTCAACCATCTTATTCCTTCTCCATGACCTCCTTTAGATTCATAAAAGTTAGAAGAGCCACAAACAAAAAAAAGGGTAGTTGGTATATGAAAATCTTAGATTCTAGGAGTAAGAAAATATAGAATTAATTACTGTGGAATTTACCAAATAGAAGGTACATGAGAAAACTATAACTAGAATTGCCTGGCTCCATCCTGTCTGCCTCTAAAACGTTCTATCAAGGAATGGTGTTGAGTTGGTTTCTCTCTACACAAACCAAGAAGAGATGAGTTACATTAATTGATCTGCTACCATTCTTCATTCTTCTTGGGATTGTTTGACAGTGACCTCTGATTCCCCAATGGAATGTCTTCAACTGTAGGGTACCGCTTCATTTGTAGGGGCAGTTTGGCCAGTGCACTTGACATATTGGGAAATGGCAATGGAAATGAGTGGTTGAGAAACAAGTGCTTCTTGTCTTCAATGTCTTGAGCCATTTCTGATGACTTTGCTTGCCCAGCAGCCGGACCCCACCACTTATTCCTTCTCTTCCTTCCTTTCTTTTTCTCTTTTTCAGAGAGAGAGAGAGAGAGAGAGAGAGAGAGAAGGCTGTGAAGAGGGAGAGAGAGAGATGGGGTTATATAGACTGGGCCCAGATAGAAGATGAAGCATTTGTCTTTGGCCAAGCGGCTAAATTTGGCAAAGCCATTTGGATTTATGGACGTTTGGATGGCCGGTGAAACACCCTTTTCAACTTACCCTTTGGTCCGTTTTCTGGTAAGATAGGAAGTGTGCCCTTTCTTGGTATTTAATTATTCCCAAAAGTCACACTATGCTGCCCCAACGATTCATGCATTTTCCATGCAACTTTAATTAAACTCATCAAGTTGGTGTATGTATGAACCCAAAAAAGTAAGTCTTGAGGAGGGGAGATAATAATTGAACTTTTCACTTTAAAGGAGATGGATGTGAACATTCATTGAGTCATGTTTCACAATATTTGTTTGTATTATATCTACTACTATTTTTTCACATTAAAAAAAATAATTATCATCTTGAGATACATTGCTAATCATTTTAAACAATGGTGTAACCAGTAATAACATGTGTATTGCATTCATCATGAAATGTTAACTATATAGTCTAAACGCGTAACATGTTGAGAAGAAAGATAATGTTACACTACGGTCAAAAGTAATGAGTGAAGTTACTATCTTTACACATGTTTACCACAATTAGGGATTCCTAAGATTGTAGCTTCTAGATGTTCTTTGTATTGAAACTTTCATAGAGTTTTTTCTTTTACAATTCAAGAAAAGTGAAATGACAAGAATCAAACTCTTACTTAACGTGTTACGATAAATATCCAAGTGAGTAATTTTTGGGTGTTCTTGGTACACCACGTGGTTGGTGTACAATCCACTAGACGGATGACATGTGGAATATTTCCAATGCAGCCCGCCCACATGTCCTAAAAAATAATGCATTAAATTGAAGAGTAATTCCACATGTCTTAGGTCTATTGGATGGTACACCAGCCATGTGGTGTACCCGGAACATTTAAAAATTTCTCCAAGTCTAGAAAGAGCGAAAAAATTATCATCTTGAGATACATTACTAATCATTTTAAACAATGGTGTAACCAGTAATAACATGTGTATTGCATTCATCATGAAATGTTAACTATATAGTCTAAAATCAATACGCGTAACATGTTGAGAAGAAAGATAATGTTACACTATGGTCAAAAGTAATGAGTGAAGTTACCATCTTTACACATGTTTACCACAATTAGGGATTCCTAAGATTGTACCTTCTAGATGTAGTCTTTGTGTTGAAACTTTTCATAGAGTTTTTTCTTTTATGATTCAAGAAAGTGAAATGACAAGAATCAAACTCTTACTTAACATGTTACGATAAATATCCAAGTGAGTAATTTTTGAGTGTTCTTGGTACACCACGTGGTTGGTGTACAATCCACTAGACGGAGGATATGTGGAATATTTCCAATGCAGCCCGCCCACATGTCATAAAAAATAATGCATTAAATTGAAGAGTAATTCCACATATTTAGGTCTATTTGATGGTACACCAACCACGTGATGTATCCGAAACATTTAAAAATTTCTCCAAGTCTAGAAAGAGCGAAAAATATATTGTAGTGCATTTAGATGGCAAAATTAATAAGTGAGACATTCTGAATTCGTTTGGTGTAAAAACATTGCGTCTGATGAACATTGGTGAAATAGTTAAGGAGACACATATCCATTATATCAGCTTGATGATCATGATTCATGATTCATGACAATGAAAGGGTGGTGGTGTTGTGCCTTAAACGTCAATGATTCTCTACCAACATTTTCAAACAAACCCATCACAGCGTTCTCCACAATATAGGACACCAAAAGCGACGTCCTGCTGTTTTCTAGAAGCTCATTATTTTTTTAGTGCTTTTTAGTGCCTCCGAGTCCTCCCCATTGAAACAAAAGGACCGACAAAATAGTCCACAGCCTTGTGCTCCCATTTAGTCTTTTACAATTGTAACTTTTTATTATTATAGTATAAGCAATAGTTTAAACTACAGGGGAGGGGAATTTCACACACACACACAAAACTATGATGCTGTGGGGATTCAAACCTTAGACCTCTGGTCTTTTACCATTCTTCTTAATTACATCTTAGGCTAGTCATTTTTATTTACTTGGGTACTTAAAAATTAAGGTAAAAAAGTATGGGCCATTGTCCTCTTTCTGATTCCTATCAGGAGCACAGGAAGACAAATGCAAAAGATATATGCATATATAAGTATCTTTCAACTGCTTTCCTCTTTTTTACCTCTTTTTTTTTTTTTTTTCCGGGTCTTCCATTCATTTTGTTTTTCCGGGAAGCTAAACATTTGACACCTGGCCAAAGAGGCCCAGGAAGAATAGTGAACCATTTACCTAATTGGCCTAAACTTATTAACAACCAACATGGGCTGGACTGGTCTGGTATGTCCAAAACATTTCAAGAATGAGTTTCATCCTTGAGTTGGTTGGCAATAAGGGCAGGCTTACTAAGGATAGGCCCCAACCTAAATGTGGGGAGTCTTCAGGGGTGTGTTATTTGTTTTTATTTTTTGCGAAACAGTAGAGATTACTTAGAAGAACATGGCATAAACCCAGGATAATCCAGGATACAACAGTAAGAACACAGTTCCAGAAGGAGGTTCTTGCAATATAGAGACTGTAACAACAACACCAACTAAGCACAAGTATTACAAGATAGTTAGAAAGCAAATATATAACTTGAAACCCAGCTAACAAGGAGTTACAGATGAGGAGGATCCTAATTCTGCAGCAACCAGTGCTTTAATAAGATCAAGACAGAGAATAATCTCTCAAACTTCATGGGACAAGAAACACTCCACGAGTGGAGGGCATACCTGCTCAACTTCCACCAGGACATTCCAAAGAATATCACAACATCTCCTAATCCCCCTTGATCCCCAAACACAATAAGAGTAGATCCACCAAAATCAGTAGCTCTACCTCCAATACAGAGAGATCTACACGAGATCTACCACAGAAGCAGCAGATCTAGCAAGATCATTCAATAACCAGCCCCAAAAGACTGGGATACAAACCCTCAAGAAAAAGGGAAGAAACAAAACCTTTCAAAAGCAAGGAGCAAACAAAACCCAACAAAAATTGGGAAGGAAAACCTCTCCACAACATAACAAGGGGGAGAGAGCCCTGGATCATTAACCGAAAGGGGTGGTTCCAAGGGAGATCCCCTAGAACCAAGGAGATTTACAGGTCTGGAGTTGGTTTTGGGTTGGGGGGAGAAGAGTCGAGGGGTGGCGCTGGCTTTTTCTCTCTTGTTTTGTTTGTGTAGATTATGGGTGTCTTATTTGTTGGGTTTAAGAAACTGGTAGATTCGTTTTTACCATCTCCAATATGCAAGAATTTTTCTATCTCCAATTTGATCAAACGGTTAAGAGATAGGGCATTTAAGGACCTTTTATAGTATAAAAAAAATAGGACCTTCTATAGAATGACTCCTCCAATATGACAATATGATATTGGCAATATTGCTTTTATAAAAAAACAAATTGAACTACATTATAATCAAAAGCAACCCATTTTCTTTAACCCCAATAGCGTTTGTTTCGCAATCTTATATCTTGAAGAAAGGAAAATAATTTGAAAGTTACCATTTTAAAAAGAGTATAGTACACACTTAGATGCAACCCTTGAATTTAAAGAGGCACAAACTTTCTTCGCGAAGATCCATTCATCAAATGATGTGTCTATTCATCAACCCGATTTTGAATAAATGACAGATCAACACATAATTTGGTGTTTTTAACCTTACTCTTGATTAAACCTTGTACTTTCGAAGTTGGGTACAAGTTGATTGGAATTTTGACAGTTTATTCTTAATTAAATGAGTCAAGTTAAATCGACACAAACTACCACCATGAAATTCCTGTTTTCTGTGGCATACGCTTGTCCAAAAGAAATGTATACATTGCCTTCGGTCGTCCTTATGAAAACTTAGCATCAGAAAGTCAGAAAGTTCGGATCATCAAACGTATTATTGGGTTTTGGGAACTTGGGATAAGATTAGTTTCCATTTTCCACACTTCCCAATTTCTCTGCGAAGCTTTTAACGTCATCACTCATCATCAACCTCCCCATCTCTCTCTCTCTCGCTCCCTCTTTTCATTTATTTTTCGCCGATCAGATCAAATTCTAAAAATACACGATGCAGCCTAGCTCAGGAGAAAACGTGAATCAACGGATTGCTAGAATCTCCGCTCATCTCGACCCTCCAAATCTCCATATGGATAACACTGCCAGTGTCAGCCGCTTGAATTGCCGCGCCAAGGGCGCCGCCGCCGGTTTCAGAGTAGCCATACTCGGAGCAGCAGGCGGCATAGGACAGCCTCTCGCCATGCTGATGAAGATGAACCCGTTGGTCTCCGTCCTCCATCTGTACGACGTCGTGAACACCCCTGGCGTCACCTCCGATATCAGCCACATGGACACCGGCGCCGTCGTAAGTTCCCAAATTTCAATTTCGTTGGTTCATTCGTTAAAATTCCCAAATTTCTGAATTTGTAAAAGTTTCGAAGATTGGGTGATTGGATTTGTAGGTGCGTGGATTTTTGGGGCAGCAGCAGCTGGAGGAAGCGCTGACCGGAGTTGATTTGGTGATCATTCCAGCCGGCGTGCCCCGAAAACCGGGCATGACAAGGGACGATTTGTTTAATATCAATGCCGGAATCGTCAGGACGCTTAGTGAAGCAATCGCTAAGTGCTGTCCAAACGCCATTGTCAACGTGATTAGCAACCCTGTGAACTCCACTGTTCCCATTGCAGCTGAAGTTTTCAAAAAAGCTGGCACCTTTGATCCTAAGAAGTTATTGGGTGTCACCATGCTTGATGTTGTTAGAGCCAATACTTTTGTGGTATGCATGCATTTGGTAAAATTTTCTCATGTTTCATTACTACCCAATTGGTCATCTTGGTTATAATTCATGAGTTTGTGATTTTGTTGCAGGCAGAGGTTCTGGGGCTTGATCCTAGGGACGTTAATGTGCCTGTTGTTGGGGGTCATGCAGGGGTTACAATTTTGCCTCTTTTGTCTCAGGTTCAGGACAGCTTGTTTTTAGATTCTCAATCATGTGTGTGTTGGTATAGAGTTGAGTTAAATTCATTGTTGTTATTGTTTTATGCAGGTTAAGCCTCCATGCTCTTTCACCCCAAAAGAAGTTGATTACCTAACACATCGCATTCAGAATGGTGGAACTGAGGTTGTTGAGGTGAGTAACCAGTGCTTGTTTCGTTGAGTTGTTGCTGCATATAGGGCTAATCATGTCATGAGTCCAGGGTACATACATTATTCCTAGGTGAAGGGAACTGTCCCTGGCTTTGCGCTCTTATTTGTTTATTAAATTTTTGTCTTTCTAAGAATTTTAAAGAATGGTTTGATAGTTATGATCTTGCACCAGACAGTGTGGAAAAAAATTTAAAGTTCTGTACAGTACGCTGAATGCTGATACAGCAAAAAAGTAGCTATATGAAAAAATCTTCCATTATTTATGTAGTTGCCTTCCTGTTTGTTCAGATGCTATACAATTAATTAAATGAGCATTAGGTGCTGACTCCTTCTATTTCGAGTACCTTCTTGGTTTTATAATTATAGAAAGGTGCAAATCAGGGTATGGAAGATAGATTATACAAATGACAGTGTAAGATAGGGGTGCTTGGTGTCACAGGCTTGCTCTTGTGAAGAGATTACTTCAAAATTAAAAATGTTGTACGGGTTGCAGGATATTGATCACTTTTGCTATTTCTTCAGAGTTTGTAGGCGTAGATTCCTGAAGTAGTCATTTGATATTAGGCAAGGAACAGGTTGTATAGTTTTAGGCTTTTAGCAATCTCTTGGGCTTGATAGTAGTGGGCACCCTGCTTTTTTGGCTTTAGGCTACCATCTCTGCTCAATACCGTAACTTTCTTTAACACTATGCTTAAGTTTGATGTGTCTTCTGTATCGCGATTGAATCTTAGAAAGTTAGTTTAAAGAATAGTGCCTAGCTTCAAAACTCTGCCATCTTATGCTCCATCTTGACATTGTTTCAGGCCAAAGCTGGAGCTGGTTCTGCAACATTATCAATGGTTAGTTATAAAAGTTAGTTTTCATAAGTTCTCTTTTTTCCCATTATTTCTTCATAAATCCTTGTTTTCAAGCTGTTTTGACTTTCGACCTGCTTAAATCTTACAGTAAGTGAAAAATGCAGGCATATGCTGCTGTTAAATTTGCAGACGCATGCCTCCGTGGCTTGCGAGGAGATGCCAGCGTTGTTGAATGTGCATTTGTGGCTTCTCAGGCACGTTACTACCATCATTTCATTTGGCGTTGTCTGAACAAATTTGTCGAAAATCATAAACTGGTTTCTATTGTATTTGGCCTAACAAGGGACGCATGCCTGTTGTAGGTGACTGAACTTCCCTTCTTTGCATCCCAGGTACGGCTTGGCCGTATTGGAGTTGAGGAAATATACCCTCTTGGCCCCCTGAATGAGTACGAGAGGTCTGTAATTTTACATGTTTTGAACCCTTGCAATTGCCTTATCTTATTTCTCTATACGAGACAAGTTTGAAAATTTTCCAATTATGCAAAACAGGGCTGGCTTGGAGAAGGCAAAGAAAGAATTAGAATCAAGCATTCAGAAGGGGGTTTCTTTCGTCAGAAAATGAAGAGGTGCTGGTGACAACTTTATGTTGGAGATAAAGCCATGTTAGATGGTCCATTAATTCCTCAGGATCACAGAGATAAAAATAAAATAAACGGTGGGTAACCAGATGCAAGCTGGGGCTCTTTACAACTCCTTGATGTAGGGCATGACACAAGGTTCTTGAGTTGTGTGGCATAGCTTGTATGGTTCTGGAATTTATTTTATTTTCATTTTAATTTACTTTTTTTAGGGTTGATCACTGATCATGTTTGGACGTTGGGCTGAGATTAATTACACATGGACTCTGTAAATAAGCTTGGGCATAGCTGAAGGTTCCATAACAATCAAAATTCTGGAATATGATGGACAGTAAAAATAGAGGCCCTAATAAGATCAAAATCTCTAGGCAAAAAAAGAGAAATTTAAAATTGATGGATCATTCCAATATCTCATTTGACTCTGCCATCAACAAAATGCCATCCATGGAGTTCTCTCCTTCATATCTCACATCGTCTCCATCTATCATCTTTGTCTTTCTATTATTTTTCTTCTCTCTCCTATGCATATCTAAATATTACCAAAATAACACCGCCAAGAATTGAGGACCTCCGGAAGCACCCGGTGCGTGGCCCCTAATCGGACACCTTCCTTATTTAGGAGGGCCACGACCTTCCCCACAAAAGCTTGGGCAACATGGCTGACAAGTACAGGCCAATCTTCACACGCAAGCTGGGCATGCACGGAGCTCCAACGTTCATGCAATTGCATTAGTTATTTGATTATGTAAATTTCCATTTGTGTGTAAAATCTTTCATTGTTTAGTTGGATTCTAGTCATCGGACTTTAGCTAAGAAAAATAAGTTCGAAGGGTTAAAGCCAAAGCCAAATTCTCAATTAGGATTGAAAATGTACCCATGAACAGGGGCGGAACTAGGTAGAGGGTTACCATGGGCTTTAGCCTAGGTAGCCTTTTTATAAAATTAAAATATATTACATGTATTTTAATGTTATTCATCCCATAAAAACTTAGTAGCCCACTCAAATGTAGCCTTGTAACTCATTGTCCACTCAATTTTGTAGGCCTATAATCATCTTATATTTAATTTGTTTGCTCAATTAGGAAACATAATCTCTTAATAAACACTCATGATTTTAACTCTCAACCTTTTACTATTTTATCCCAATGTATACTTTTATTTCTAGAAAAACTAGAGAAACAGTAAGTACCCAAACAAAACTTGGTCCTTAGATTTTAAGTTAATAACTTTAGCTAGCCCACCCATTGAAAAATTCCTGGTTCCGGCCTTGCCCGTGAATATAGTAGAAAACGTACTTTGAGTTTACAGTATAAAATCATACTAATCACCGGCCTTCTACCTGCCCTTGTGGTTAAGTGCGCTTGCACTGAAAAAAAAAATCCAACTAATCCAGTGTAGAAATGACATCTTCTATAGTGAATATTATGAGGCCCTGTTTGATAGACTGGACTGGACCAGACTTCTCCAATTAAAATGGACTAAAATCCTATCCGTCGTTTGGTGGGCGTAACTGCACTCTTGGACTGGTTGGGCTTGATATTGCGCTTGGGACCAGACTTCTCCCCGTTCGCTGCTTAAAGCAACGTGTGCTCCTCTTCTTCCCATCACTCTTTTTCTTCTTTTCATTCTCCTCTGTGACTTCATCACTGCCATTTTGAACGTAGATTTCTTTCCTCTGTATATCTTTTTTCTTCTATGGAGGTGTGATTCTCTCTTCTATCATCTCTTCTCTCTCCTCTACTTTCAACTCTTATCTATGATATCAGATTTCTCTCTTAATTTTATTAATTTAATTGTTAAATATTGAGATGACTGCCATCTCTTTTTTCAGGATTAGAGCTCGAGTGCCATGGTTTTTTTGGGGGGTTGTTTGTTGATGGTTCATTATGCTAATATTCTGCATTTTTTTAGGTTTTAAAAAAAAATTCCTACTCATCCACTGTAGAAATGACATCTTCTATAATCTATAGTGAATATTATGAGGCCTGTTTGATAGACTGGACTGGACCAGACTTCTCCAATTAAAATGGACTAAAATCCTATCCGTCGTTTGGTGGGCCTAAATGCACTCTTGGACTGGTTGGGCTTGATATTTTGCTCGGGATACCAATCCAGCAAATGGGGTTATTATAAACCCAAGAGAAACCTTGGGTTTCGATTCGAAGCCTCCGCCTCCCCGTTCGCTGCTTAAAGCAACGTGTGCTCCTCTTCTTCCCTCTGTATATCTTTTTCTTCTTTTCATTCTCCTCTGTGACTTCATCACTGCCTTTTTGAACGTAGATTTCTTTCCTCTGTATATCTTTTTTCTTCTATGGAGCTGTGATTCTCTCTTCTATCATCTCTTCTCTCTCCTCTCCTTTCAACTCTCATCTATGATATCAGATTTCTCTCTTAATTTTATTAATTTAATTGTTAAATATTGAGATGACTGCCATCTCTTTTTTCAGGATTAGAGCTCGAGTGCCATGGTTTTTTTGGGGGGTTGTTTGTTGATGGTTCATTATGCTAATATTCTGCATTTTTTTAAGTTTTGATTTGGGGTTTTGGGGTGTGGGTTAGTTGCGTTTGCAACTTTGTTTATGCAAATTTCCATTACAACAATACTATGTAGTTGAAATAAAAAAATTATGCTACTGCTATTTTTCAGTGCATCCAAATTGAATGAAATATAATATATAAAGTCCTTCCCTTTTTCGCATGTCAACTTAATTGCTTTCTTGATTAATTGCTAACAATCTCCATTTTTATGAATAATTATCTGCTTTATACGTGTGGAATGATATGTTAGTTGCTTGCTGATGTTTCACATGTCATGATGTGCTGTTTTTTTCACTATTTTTTTTAAAGGGTTCTGTTCCTGGTGCTTGAACCCTTTGCAAGATTATTTTTTTCATTTTTCTTACCTGTAACAGTTGATGAATAAATATTTTTACACTGTCTTGAAAAGGGTATATCATTGCTCCCATTAAGCTTTCATAAGAGCATCTAGATTGTTCTGTCAAAAGTTGAAGTGTTTTTTAAAAGATCAGATTATCATCTCAGTTCATTTAATACGTTCATTTAATACACTCTCTTCCTTTTCATTAGAAAACTTGAGAACTTGCTGTTTTTTCTTATTTTTGGATTCATATTCCTTTGCATCACTCTTTGTTTCTGAAAATTTTAAACTGTTGCTGTTTTTTCTTATTTTTGGATTCATCTTCTATAGGTCTTAGCAAATGAAGTGAACATAGGGTATGAGGATATGAGCAATCAGCAGGCAAGTTATCTGTTTCAGTTTACAACTTTGACATGTCTTTTCCAACCGTATGGCTGCGCTAATGAAAAATTGATTTCAGGTTTTGAAGTTAAATGGAACACAAATAAGGAACATTCAGCATTTGGCGTACCTTGTAGATTGTAAGTGGTAGCACCCCTAAAATGATTTGGGCTTTTATTAATTTACTTGGCTTTTGTTTTGTATTTTTTTGAAGGCTTTTTAAAAGTGATTTCAATACCAAATTGGGTTGGTTGCTTGCTTGCAAGTGATTTCAATACTTTGGTTATCTCAAACTTCAGTTATATCATCTTTTTCAGAAAGCATGTGACTTGAGGTGTCGCATCTGGGTTGGGGGAGATGGTACACTCTGAGAGAGCTTGAGGCGGCCACCAATGGGCCCTGTGAAGAGAATGTGATTGGGGAAGGTGGGTATGGGATTGTTTACAGTGGGATTCTTAGTGATGGGACTAAAGGCGCTGTTGAGAACTTGTTGAATAACAGGTACTCGAAAAAAACTCTATTATTTATTTATTAAATATGAAAATTTTATGTGTACTTTGTGGTCTCTGGTGGTTTTCTGATTAGTTAAGATTTGATGAGAAATTTTGGTTTTTTAATTGGCCATGGATTGGAATTCCTAATTTGTAAATCTCTGTTTCGGTTGCTGAATATGCAAAATTGAAAATTTTGAGAGTTTTTGGCCTTTTCATTTTTGGGTGTTCAAATTGCAGAACTTTGCTAAAACAGGAAAGCTCAAAACTAAAAATAGAAGGTTTTTGGTTTGATTCCCTTTCTGCTTGTTATTCTTGTCTTGCGTCTGTTAGAATTAGAGAAACAATGTTTATGTTTGAGTCTGTTAGTTTATGTTTGAGTATAAAAAAAAAGTCACTAATTATGACTTTGTTCTTTCCAATATTGTTAATGGCTGATTGTAAAACCAGGCCCTAAGCTCTAAAAGCCTACAAAGGGGGGGTGAAGTAGGCTATAGGTCAAAGACCTACCCTTTTTAAAAATAAACTTCTTTAAAGGCACACAAGCACAAACACAAGCAATTTCGTGGTTAATAAAATAAAACTAGTAACAGCGGAATGTAAATAACACACAATAATTGTAGACCCAGAAAACCCAACAGGGTGAAAAACTGGGGGCACCAAGCCAGGGGAGATCCAATCTGCTCGATTAAGAAATACAAGAAAAACGAAACAAGATTTAGCTCATCTATCACCTATAGGTGGCTGTAATCCAATCTTTCAGCAAACACCTTTTCTTTATCTCTTAGCAGCAAATCCTCTCAAGAGCACCAAGCTCAAGTTGCATGTAGTTTGATGTATGAAATGAGTTATGGTTTCACAGATTCATCTATCTCAATCACAAAGTATGATTGAGCTAGACAAATGAAACCTAATTGTTGTGATGATTAAACTAGAAGTAATGAACTTGAAGCAAATAGTTTAATTCAACATAATAACAATGAAACAAAACATTCAGCCACAATAAATATGAATCAACGTTGGAGACAATCTATGTGTATACAATCAGACAAATACTCTTAAGTGTTCAAGTGGCTGAAAAATAAATGGAATGTTTTTGAATGCTCAAGAGCACATATGAAAATTCTTTTCAAAAACTAATAAACAGATCTGCAAATATTGGTGGGATGTAAGAGAGCATCTGATTGTTTATAAAATGTGAATGAAACAATCCCCACCAAGGTCTCACGCCAAGAAGAAGAATATATAGACTATTTGAACAAGACAAGATTCAAAGAGAATAACCAAAAGTAATCTCACAGTGGGCGGTTTCAAGAAGAATAAAAGAAAGGCTTATTATCACAAAAGGTCCCTAAGGTTTACGAAACTATCAGATTGCATCCTTAATGTTTTTTTGTGTCATTGGTGGTCCTCAAGGTTAGTATGTGTGATCACAAATGGTCCTTACCGTTAGGTTCTGTCAAAAACTCCGTTAGTTTGCTAATGTGGCAAATATATATATCACAAAACATCCCTGAGGTTTACACACCTATCACAAATGGTCCCTGCAATTTATTTTTAATTTTTTAAATTTAAAATTCATAAAATTTTGGTTTTCTTTTTTAAATCTTATGAATTTTAAATTATTTTAAAATATATATTGTNNNNAAAAATAATTTAAAATTCATAAAATTTAAAAATGAAAAAACCATTTATATAAGGATTTTAACCTTGAGGACCATTTATAAACCCTAAACCCTTGGTTTTTTTCATTTTTAAATTTTATGAATTTTAAATTATTTTTAAAAAACTTCATTAGTTTGTTGGTGTGGCATATATGTGGAGCCCACATCTTCAAAAATATAGTGTCATATGTATTTAAAATATAATGTATAAAAAGAAAACCAAAATTTTATGAATTTTAAATTAAAAAATTAAAAAATTTCCGCAGGGACCATTTGTGATAGATGTGTAAACCTCAGGGATGTTTTGTGATATGTATGTATGCCACATCAGCAAACTAAAGGAGTTTTTGACGGAACCTAACGGCAGGGACCATTTGTGATCACACATACTAACCTTGAGGACCACGACTGACACAAAAAAACATTAAGGATGCAATCTGATAGTTTCGTAAACCTTAGGGACCTTTTGTGATAATAAGCCTAAAAGAAATAAGATAAGCCTTATTGCTTTGAAGAGTTTTGGGACAAGGAGCCGCATGCTCTGATGAGATGAAACCAACAAGAGTGATGTAAAGAATTATTAGATTCTTTTGGGGACCAAAACACTATAAAAAATGATAAAAGTAAGCATGGGTGTTTTCGGAAACAGGAGTAGCCGCAAGTGGCTGTTGAAAAGAAGAATAAAAAATAGGGAAATTGGCGGCTTTGCCCCCGGCGCAGCTAATTTATTCAATATTATCCCCATTTTGAAATCTAATCACA